CAGAAAAAATAAAATTTCTAAACTAAGACAGACTTTTAAGCAGGACATTTAAAATTAATTTGAGGATTTGAAGCACTCTGCAGCGGCCTCAAGCTGCTTTAGCTGAATATCACTCAGGCTTTTGTACATCTTATGCCCCTTTTGCACCGCTTCTACTCAGCCCCAACTCTGCTCAGATCAGCCTGATTTGTGCTGTACTTCAGGACCGGTTCTGGAGGCGTGTCCAGAATCCAAAATCCTGCTAATGAACTTTTAATGAACTTTAGTTCACCATGAGAGTTCTGCAGAGTTGAACTCAAATCAGTCTGCTCCTCAGATAAATAATATTAAATTGTTATTTTTAAATATGAATGTTTCTGTTAACTTATTTTATATATGAATATTTCTGTTCTGCCCTGAGGCGACTTCTGTTGTGACTTGGCGCTATATGAATGAACTGAATTGAATTAAATCTAATGAACCAGATTCTACAAAAACATTTATATTTAAAATTCTATATTTTTCTTCATTTTATGTATTTGCACTCATTGTGTCTACTTTTAGTGTTCAATTTAGATATGTGGTTTTGTTTCATACAGATTTTATTTTAGTGATTTAAAGTGTAATTCTTGTTTTGTGATTTGTACATCTGTGGGTTAGAATAAAGTTGAACCAAAGGCTCTTCTTTAAACATGTTTGAGGGAAATATCCCTGAGAGATCCAATAATTTTGTCTTTTTACAAACTGGATTCCAAAAAAGTTGGGACACTAAACAAATTGTGAATAAAAACTGAATGCAATGATGTGGAGATGCCAACATCTAATATTTTATTCAGAATAGAACACAAATCACAGATGAAAAGTTTAAACTGAGAGAATGTATCATTTTAAGGGAAAATCTGTTGTTTCCAAATTTCATGGCGTCAACAAATCCACAAAAAGTTGGGACAAGTCCATATTTACCACTGTGGCATCCCCCCTTCTTCTTACAACACTCAACAGACGTCTGGGGACAGAGGAGACCAGTTTCTCAAGTTTAGAAATAGGAATGCTCTCCCATTCATGTCTAATACAGGCCTCTAACTGTTCAATGGTCTTGGACCTTCTTTGTCGCACCTTCCTCTTTATGATGCGCCAAATGTTCTCTATAGGTGAAAGATCTGGACTGCAGGCTGGCCATTTCAGTACCCGGATCCTTCTCCTACGTAGCCATGATGTTGTGATTGCTGCAGAATGTGGTCTGGCATTATCGTGTTGAAAAATGCAGGGTCTTCCCTGAAAGAGATGACGTCTAGATGGGAGCATATATTATTCTAGAACCTGAACATAGTTCTCTGCATTAATGGTGCCTTTCCAGACATGCAAGCTGCCCATGCAACCCCATACCATCAGTGATGCAGGCTTCTGAACGGAGCGTTGATAACAACTTGGGCTATCCTTGTCCTCTCTGGTCCAGATGACATGGCGTCCCAGTGTTCCATAAAGAACTTCAAATCATGACTCATCTGACCACAGAACAGTCTTCCATTTTGCCACACTCCATTTTAAATGACCCCTGGCCCAGTGCAAACGTCTGAGCTTGTAGAGCTTGCTTAGAAATGGCTTCCTCTTTGCACTGTAGAGTTTCAGCTGGCAACAGCGGATGGCACGGTGGATTGTGTTCACTGACGATGCTTTCTGGAAGTATTCCTGAGCCCATTCTGTTATTTCCTTGACAGTGGCATTCCTGTTTGAGGTGCAGTGACGTTTAAGGGCCCAGAGATCACGAGCATCCAGTAGAGTTTTACGGCCTTGACCCTTACGCACAGCGATTGTTCCAGATTCTCTGAATCTTTTGATGATGTTATGCACGGTTGATGATGATAACTTAAAAGTCTTTGCTATTTTACGCTGGGTGACACCATTCTGGTATTGCTGCACTATCTTTCTGCGCAACAATGGTTGAATTGGTGATCCTCTTACCATCTTGGCTTCTGAGAGACACTGACACTCTAAGAAGCTCTTTTTATACCCAATCATGTTGTCAATTGACCTAATTAGTGTTAATTGGTCTTCCAGCTGTTCGTTATATGCTCAATTTCCTTGTTCCAGCCACTTATTGCTACTTGTCCCAACTTTTTTGGGATTTGTTGACACTGAAATTTTGAATCAACATATTTTTCCTGTAAAATGTTACTTTTACTGAGATTAAACTTTTGATCTGTCATCTATGTTATATTACGAATAAAATATTGACATTTCAATTCAATTCATTTCAATTCAATAATACTTTATTAATCCCAGAGGGAAATTATTTGTTGTTGTAACTCGTTATCCTCATTTCATTAAGAGATGTTATAGATACTGATGGCTGTAGACAGGAAGGATCTGTTGTAAAGGTCCATCACACAGTGGATCTTAAGAAACTGGCTGCAGATGCCCTCCGATCCGTCCACCCAGACTCGGCTGGCCTCTCGGTTCCCCCGGGCTGTAGGACCACCCGAATGCCGGGCAGAACTCCTCCCAGAGCAATGGCCACTCCTCCCAGCAGTCTGCTGAGCTTCTCGTCACTGCGGACAGCCAACTGTAGGTGCTGAGGGACGATCCTGTCCTTCCGCTGTCATGAGCTGGGTTTCCTGCTAATTCCAGGACCTCAGTGGTCAGACACTCAAGCACAGCTGGCAGATAGATGACAATGCGTCCAGAGAACATCCTTTCAACTCATTTGAGATTTGGGGCTGTAGTTGAGATATTATTTGAGCTTTTGAGATGTTAATCAGCTGTTGGTTGTAGAAAACTGCCTTGTTGCCATGGTTACGCATCATAACAAATGTCCAAAACAAAAAAATTGTCAGTAAAACTCCTTCCAGCTGCACAGCATCTGATACCAGAGGAAACAATCATCCAATAAAATGTGATTTACATCCAGAAAAAGAGGAACTAAAGTTTCCAAAAGCAAAATCTCAAAATGAAAGTAACAGAGCTGCTCCAACATGCAGCCACCTTGAGCGGCGCAATTCTAGAACAATTTGCCATCTCCACATCATTGCATTCAGTTTTTATTCACAATTTGTTTAGTGTCCCAACTTTTTTGGAATCCGGTTTGTATGATTTTTCAGCTGAGTTAACTTTAATTAACAGATTATTTAATAACATCAAAGTTAAAACAGGATTTCATAAAATCGGCACCGTTTTTTTATTTTTATTCTTTACTGATTAAAAAAAAACATTTTTTATACAAAAAATGTAAAAAATAAAAAAATAAAAAAGTTTCCACCCTCCCTCCCAGTCCTCCCGCCTGCCAGGCCTCATAATCCGGCCTTTGTGAGCACGCGAGGCCGGTGCTCGGGGTCCGGCCTCGCGTGCTTCAATGGGTTGGCAGCTCATATGATCCTCCGCAGTGACTCCGCTCGCTCTAATTTAGTCGTAGTCACCAAACACAAAAAACACCTGGACTTCAGTATTAAACATGGTGTTGTCATTATTGTTTTTAAAATCTTAACAATAGATCCAGCCTCTGCTCCGCGTTCCGAGAAATTGCAAATGGCGGATCGGTGAAGAGTTTCTGAGAGAGATCCAGTGACTCCTCCCCCTGACCAATCAGTGTCCTGCATTCACGTTTCGGTCCAGAGTCAGCTCAACTCAGCTCGCTCGGGACGAAAAAGGTCCCGAATCAGCTAAAAAGTACTGGTGGAATAGGGAGCTTTCCGTGGAGGGCTGAGCAGAGTGGGGGCTGAGAAATAGTGGTGGAAATGGGGCATTACTAAGATCGGAGCGTAAATCTGTTTTTTCTGATTTCAGGTCATGTAAAAAGGTTAGAGCAGGCAGAGGCAAACTAAGGTCCACGAGCCATTTACTTTAAGCTTTTTAATCTAACCTGACAATCTTTTATTTAATTACTTTACTTAAACTAAATCACACCCACGTCACCTTTTACCTGTATAGCCCACATTTCCCCAATAGATGGCGCACTCCAGCCACATGACCTTTGTTGGAGTATTGTTCTTTTCACGTGATCCTTGGATATGTTTATGTCATTAAATTCTGTAGTTAACAAGTCTTTTCATTTTAAATACTATTTTAAATTCTATGGTTTATTTTGAATATTTTTACATAACTTGAAAAAGTTACAGAATTCCAATTAAATTTACAGTACTACAAGCCAGCATACTTTTACTTTCATTATAGATTTGAGTTTTATACAAATAACTTCATTATTTGAGTCATGAATGTGATGCCGATTTTAAGGTCAAAGGTCATCTCTATCTCTAAATGGCTTTAAATTGATAATTATTTCACAGAGAAACATTAAACTTCACAGCTGGACACCTCAGGGGTCAACAATGATCTCTATTGTTTTAGGGTCTCAAGGTCAAAGGTCATCCTTTTATTTTAATTATTAAGTTATTATGACAACAAATCAGTTTTTAGTCATTTTAGCTTTTTCCCCCTTTCTCTTTCAGCATCTACTCTTTTCACATTTGATCTGCTTATAAATGCTTTATTGCACAACTTTCAACTTTTTCTATTAATTTGAGCCTTTTTATGCTCCATTGTGCTTTCTGCTGATTTCATCTTCATTCTGTTTTCAGTTATTTTCTTCTGTTTACTTCCAGCTGATTCTTTCTACTTTTCAGCTACTGATGCCTTTCAAGTAAGCTTTAGGTTGTTAAGCAGTTTTCAGCTAAATCCTCCAGCAGAAAGCAGGAAATACTTTTCAAGTTGTTTTTTATTATTTCATAAATCGTCTTTAGTGGTCTGTAACAAAATTTAAATTATTTGCAACAAAAAAACATCTTTTAGAACATTTCCTAAGTTAAAATGTATAATCTAATAACATTTTAACATAATTTTCTTTATTTTGCATAAAAAATGTTTCCACTCTTTTTCTTTTAGCCAGTCCCCTGGACATGTGAGTCCCCTGGACACGTGAGTCCCCTGGACACGTGAGTCCCCTGGACACATGTCCATAAGAGAAATATAAACTTTAAAATGATCCAACCAAGACACACACACACACACTGTAAACATCTCTGTCTTGTTCTTTGTTTTCGGGCAGCTCACACAAATCTGAAGGCGAGCTTCTTGGTCAGAGTGTATCTGGGCTCCGGCATCTGTTTGTTTCTTGCATACACTCCTTTGCCGACCTCCCTGTTCACACGAGTCAGGACGGTCAGTAGGTCATCTTTCTCCGAGCTGGAACAAGAATGAAGACAGTAAATCATTTATCTACAGTTGTTAAAAATATCCAAATGCCCTGCTTTGAAACTAAACACTAAACGAACACAAGAAAGAAGTGACGGAGCAAACGATCTCTAGTTTGAGAGATTTGGAACATTTTAGGTCTTTTTCTGGTGAAGGATGACTGTACACTTTAGGTCAGGTCCAAATCACTGCATTGCCTTTAAACTTTTATTTAAACATTGTAGAGGTGTGAATAAAAGTCACTGTCCCTGATTTTTTTTTGCTCCTGGACTTCTTAGCTGCAGTAGTTTTCACTTTGAATGAAAGGCTCATGTAGATAAACAGGGGTTATGTTTGGAACTGGCCCAAGATTAACCTGTTTTTTTTTTTTTTTTGCTGACAGCTACGAAGGACAGAATTAACACTGCAGCTAAACTGACAAAGAAGCTGAAACGGGTACATGCATCCTATCACTGCTTGGAGACCATTTCCTCTCTATAGTCTGTAAATAAACACAGAAATTCATCTAGAGAAAACCTGAGCTCTGTCTTGGTCCAGTAACACAAACCTACAGGAACATTTAACCAGAAATATAAAACAAGCTTTACTCTGATGTCCCCAACACTGTGGGATTTGAATAGTGAATGTTTGTATTTACATGAACATCTTGCACCAAAAGCATTTAGGTTTACTTACACTCTGTTCAATACCAGTCCAGAAAAACACTCATCTCCAAAACTACAAACATTCACTGTTCAGATCCCCCAGCACCCGATGACATCTGAGTACTGATTGTTACAGGGACATTTACAAGAGATCGCAGCCTTGTGTCTGCTATTGGGCCTTCATCAGAAGGTCTTCCTCACCTCTCAGCTGATTTAGTCAGCTGTTTGCACAGCTCCTGGATGTAGATGGAGCCGGTTTTAGTGTGCCGAAATGACTTGTTGTTCTCCACCGTGGACATGCCGATCAGAAAGTCTGCTCCTGCAGGCAACGTCCCATCCTGTTGGAGACCAGAATGTGACTCCGGGGGTCTCTGTGCGTCCTCCTGGATACCTTCATTCTGACATGCTTGAATGAAGAAGACTTTGGGTTTTCCTGCCAGGGTGGGGGCTCTGTCACTGGTGAAGGGCGATGTCAGATCTGGCAGGAACACTTTCTTCTCATCAGAGCCAAAGACGCAGCCCTTTTCTCCATGGGTAAGGATGCATACAACCTTCAGACAGACACATTTTATTCATTGTTATGTCTCACTTAATCTTGAATTTATTAGAACAATATTCACTATTGTTTACAAACATTTACATTTATTAATTGTATTACTACTGTTTAACAATATTATATAAGAAAAGAAATAAGCATACCACATACAGCACGTTATACAACTGTCAAACAGCAATCTATAACAAGCAAAGACCTTGTATAGGTTTTGACCTCAATTTGTAAATGGTAATAAAATGGACTGTACTTATATCACCGTTTCCCCTACCATTATACAAGCGGGGTGCCCCACCCCATCAACAGAACTGAGCACTCCGCCTACCAAACCGAACTTGCCCACCCTCCCCACCACCCAGCAATGACATAGCACTAAGCTAGCGGCGCAAAATACAGGCTCTCTAGCTAAAAAGCTTAAGGCAGCACTCACGTTGCCAATTCTCTCAAGCTGAACACCCCCCACACACACACACACACACACACATACACACATACTCCTGTATAAACAGCGCACAACTCAAACATGTCACGCTAAGCTAGCAGCGAACAATACAGACGCTCTAGCTAAAAAGCTAAAGGCACCTCTTCCCTCATGCTGACACCCCCCTCATGTCAACATCCCCCCCCAGTCAAAAATCATGGATGAGATGAGCACCCCGCCATGGCAAGTTAACTCGGGGAAACACTGTATATAGCACCTTTCTATCTTATCAAGATACTCAAAGCTCTTTACACTACACTCATACAGCACTCTACTAGATCTATACAAAGACTAATCAGAGTCAGAGTCAGAGATTCTTTATTGTCATTCACACCTCATGTGGTACATGTGGTGGAGCGAAATGATGTACACAGGGTCCCAGTTACATCCAACAATAAAATGCATAAGAAAAACAGTAATAACATCCAAGATATGAACCAAGAAAAACATCAACCAAATATACACCAAGCACCCATAACACAAAACATTGAACATCAGCACAAACATGAACATGAGTCCGCATGAGCGGATGTGCACGCATGAACACACCAACATTGAAACAGACCAGCAGCAACACGATGTGACCTTCACAACGATTATTCTGGTCAGAGATTCACGAGTCTAACAGCCTCAGGGTAGAAGCTGTTCCTCAGTCTAGTGGTTCCACACTCAATGCTTCTCAATCTCCCTCTCGAGGGGAGCGGGGCAAAAAGTGTGTGCGCTGGGTGAGTGAGGTCCCTCATGATGCAGGCAACCCTCTTCCTGCATCCGGAGGCGTAGATGTCTGTGACGGTGGGGAGGCTGACTCCGACAGACTTCTGTGCAGCCTTCACCACTCTCTGCAAAGCTTTTCTTTCCGCAGCTGTGCAGCCTCCACGCCACATGTTGATGCTGGAGCACAGGATGCTCTCCACTGCACACCTGCAGAAGGAGGTGAGGACTGAGCCTCCCAGACCAGCTCGTCCCAGCCGTCTGAGGAAGCAGTCTCCGATGAGCCTTCTCGATCAGGCCGGTGGTGTTGTTGCTCCAGCTGAGGCCGTCATCCATGTGCACACCCAAGCACCTGCAGCTGGAGACCACCTCCACCGCAGATCCTCCCATGCTCAGGGGGGAGCAGATGCCCCTGCTCCCCTCGAAGTCCACAACCATCTCCCCCATCCTCTCCACATTGATGTGAAGGCCAACTTCCCCGCAACCAGCTCTCCAGGTGCCCCACCTCCCGCACGCAGCCGGACCCATCACCATAATCAGAGCTTTATCGCATTCATACACTGATGGGACACACATCGGAGGCAATGAGGGGTTCAGTGTCTTGCCCAGGGACACTTTGGCATGTGACTGCTGGTGGAAACGAACCCCCAACTCTTGCATGGGAGGACGACTGTTCTAACCACTCAGTCACAGCCGCCCAATTTGTGACCTTAACCTTAAAGCTGGGTTGAGTAAAAGATTATGAAGAAGACTCCTACGTCCGAATGCTCTTTGTGGACTTCACGTCTGCCTTCAACACCATGATCGCCCAGACTCTGATGGACAAACTATTCACACTAAGGCTAAGCCCCTCCATTTGCAACTGGGTACTAGACTTCTTAACAAACAGACCACAGTCAGTGAGGATCCACAACTTCTCCTCCTCCACCATAACCCTCAGCACTGGCTCCCCTCAGGGGTGTGTGCTGAGCCCTCGCCTGTTCACTCTGCTCATGTATGATTATGCACCTACCCATCCAGGCAAAAAACAATGATGAGACCAGCTACAGGCAGAAGGTGGAACACCTGGAGAGCTGGTGCAAGGAGAATAACCTTCACATCAATGTGAAAAAGACAAAGGATATGATCGTGGACTTCAGAAGGAACAAACACACCTACACCTCCCCCTGAACATAAAAGGATCTGTGGTGGAAATGGTCTCCAGCTACAAGTACTTGGGTGTGCACCTGAATGACAGCCTCAGCTGGGGCAACAACACTACCAGCCTGATCAAGAAAGCTCATCAGAGACTCTACTTCCTCAGGTAGCATAGACGAGCTGGTCTGGGAAGCTCAGTCCTCACATCCTTCTACAGGTGTGCAGTGGAGAGCATCCTGTGCTCCAGCATCAACGTGTAACATGGAGGCTGCACAGCAGCAGAAAGAAAAGCTTTGCAGAGAGTGGTGAAGGCTGCACAGAAGACTGTTGGAGTCAGTCTCCCCACCGTCACAGACATCTACACCTCCAGATTAGAGGATGCCATTTTTTCGGGAGTACTGCGGGTCATGTGATTCCGGCCGGATTCTGGCAGAACCGGAGTCAACCTCATTATAATTCACGTGACCGGGACGTGACCAGACTGAAAGCTAACGGGAGCAGACAGGAGTGGGAACCGACCAAAAGCCAAAAATAAAACCTAAAATTTTTTTTAAAAAAACACGGGCGCAGCTATTTTGTAGTTTTCTTTCAGTAAGCCTTCACTTTAACACAAGTCAAAAGAACTACATTGCCCAGAAGTCAATTGTTCCAGTAGTAGCTTTTCACCGAGAGGGTGGTGTAGTATGTCAGGACAGCTTTGCTGTGGACACACGGGCCACTATTTATGTTATTTAAAACATGTACGGGCCACTAACTATGTAGTAAACGTGGGGTCACAGCTTTGTTGTAGCTTCACTACTAATTAATTATTCTTAAAGCTAGTTCAAGCACAAAGAATATTAATATTAATTAAATACAACGGATTCTTTCTTTTTCGAGTTAAATTAATGCCATGTGACCGAGATAACTGCGAGGATTATTTAATCAGTGACATGAGACACCATTTTTCTTTGACCCATCAAAATAAATGTGGTCATTTATTTAACAGAATCAAAATTTAACATCAAAACATGTACACATTGATTTGCTGATCTGTTTCTGATTAATAAAAACTTGGCACACTTTACTAACAAGACAACAGAACATTTCTGAAGGCATCTAGATTACTGGCAAAATAGAAAAGTTTAAGGGAAGGAAGGAGAAGTTTAAAGGAAGATGGATGAAGGAAGATGTATGTTTTGTTGGCCAGAATTAGCACGCTTCTTTCAACACCAGCTCAAACCCCCGGTCCACTTAGTGCGCGACACTTGTGACGTCTCTTTACCTTTGCCGAGGATGGATCAGCTCCGGTCAGATGTCCCTATGCACGCTACCTTTCAGCGTCTCCGGTCAGGGTGGCTGGTCATCGTCAGAAGTCGTGACAATTTACTCCTTTCAACTGAACAAGTTTCCTTCGAAGTTGTAGGGCGTTACGCCCGGGTGAGTTCACAGCGAGGCGCTGTGACTCCGCTGGGATAGACAGACCCCATTCCATCAGCTTCTAAGTTCAGCTGGAAGACTTCATAGTTCCACTCAGAAGTGGAAGACTGAGTCCGAAGTTCCACTCAGAAGTGAAAGACTCCAGTGAAAAAGTGAGTAAGACTCCGGTCAAAGACTCAGAAGACTTTGAAGACTGAATAGTTCCAGGAAGTGTTGACTTTTAAAAGAATACTCACTTCCGGTCACTTGGTACTTCCTGATTGGTTGAAACAATCAGCAGGGGGGTGGTTTCAGTGATGTCAGAGGGTTATTAAAAGTCAAGAGGGGATGCAGGAATGTTTAGGAATGATTAGTACAGACAGAGAAATGTTTATAAGAGGTGAGAGGAAGCAGGTGCCAGTTGCTTCTTATTTACCGTCTGCTAGGTTTAAAAACAAGACACATCGTTCCCATAACTTGCTTTCTGACTTTTAACCGAGATCCTTGACTTTTAACCGAGATCAAATCCACTCATTCAGGCAGAAGATCAAGATGCACAATTACTTTGTAAATAGACATTTAACTTGATTTCTAAGTCTAAATGAGGTTTAAAAATCATTAATACTGTTTCACAGTTGATTTAAATGAGTGGTTTACTTTCAACATTAGAAATGATATGAACTAAACACACTTTTGATTATCAAGATACTGTAAAATAGTAATGATAATATAAAAAGAAGAGTTTGTATTTCTGGATTCAAATCACTGAAATAACAGTTCCTGTCCCATGAAGGTCTTCAGAGACAGGTTGTTGTCGGAGGCCTAGTTCAGTACAGTGGGAGGAACAGCGAAGTAGCTGAAAATAGTTTGCAACGCAAGGTAAGAAGTAACTGTCTCTATTAAACTCACAGAACAGGCAGGAAAGTGTTAAATAATCCTGAACTTCACGAGAGTTGTGTTGGTGCTGTGCTGCTTTAAACATTTAGTCTCAGTTGCGGTGAGGAGCTGCTTTGTTTACAGTCAGTAAATAAACAAACAAACTCAAACAGCGCATTTTTCTCCATCTTGTCCCTTTTAATTTAAAAATTATGCTCTGCTTTGTTATGTGGGTTTTTAGGTTAAAATCTTCATTATCTGTCGCTGTTTGTGTAAAAATGAAAAAACCCGAACTCTACCTGGTTAAAGTGCACGCATTCTCCGGTCAAAATATCACAGTTTTTAATATGAAAGACTGGTTGCATATGTTATAATAATTGTTTTGGTTTTAGATTTAAGTTATGATGTTATTATGTTGTGTTAAATTTTAGGCCAAGAGTTGATTTTTCTCAGTTCATTTCTTCACACCAGGGGCTATTCTAGAAGCCCTTTTTAGGGGCTTTAGTCCCCCAGTGTTGACAGTGGCTCTTGGCTTGAACAACACAGTGTGTATTAGCATTAGAATTATTGTAGGGGGGACATATTGGTCTGTGGGTCCTCCCCCATAACTTTTTGAATAAAGTAGCTGCTATTTCCTGCATTCTGGTGTATTTTAACAGGTTTTAAAACATTTATGTTTACCTACATAAGTAAATCCTTTATTCAATAATTGTTCTAGAAAGCATGGCACAAGAAGTAGCACTAAGCTTGTTGTTTGTCTTTAATTTAATTTAATTTTTCTACCTAACACAGGAAGCTGTTAGCTCTGGAAGCAAACTGTTAAACAGCTTTAGACACAAAGACCCTTGTCACACACTTCAACAGAGCAGGTAAGATACATAAAATCTTGTGATCTCTGCCTGGTGAGGCTGATTGAATAATTATAAAATATGATAAGTGAAATAAATAAAGAAAAATTGAGCTTCTGTAATTATTTTCTTCACTTAATTTCAATTGTAAATCTCTTGTTTTTGATAAAATATTTTTTTCCAAAAGAAAGGCCAACAGATTGTAATTTGTAGTCACTGTAACCCTATTTTGACTCATGCACTGTCTTCTTTCACTTTTAGGTTACACAAGGCTCTGGACCGGTCACTGAAGCTGTGGAGAGATGAGGTGGAACACCAGACCTGCAATGATCCAGTCTGTAAATGATTCTCTGACGTCTGGTAAGATGCACGACATCCTGCTTCACTGAAACAAGCTCGTTACCTCAACCACATAGACTGAACTTCTTGAGGACGTCGTCCAATGTATAATAACGCCTTTAAACATTTTTATTTGTTGAGTTCTCTTGCTTGGAACATCATTTTTGTTTTTTTGTTTGTTTGTTTAAGCAATTTAAAACATGACAGTAATGTCACTGTTTAAAGGAAACAATAGCTCAATAAATTAGTAAAATGCAACTTGTTATGTTTGGGTCCTTTCATCTAAGGTAGACATGGTGTGACCCATGGACTGGTTTTGATTTTTTTTTTTTGTAACTGACCTTCAAAAGAGCCAGAAACAGGGACTCAGCAGCTGATCCTCCGTAGAAAAATTATAGGGACTACAGGCCATGTATTATTTGTTTTGTGCCCTTTAATGAGGTTTTTGTTTGGATTAAGGCAATAAATGTCTCTATTTCACCACAGATGAACTGTTCCTGTTGCCATATCTTTTGAAATAAAACTGCAGAACACAAAGTGGGGGGTGGGGTTGTTCAGCATGAGGGAAGTGGTGCCTTTAGCGTTTTAGCTAGAGCGTCTGTACTGCGTACTGCTAGCTTAGCGCAACATGTTTGAGTTGTGCGCTGTTTATACAGTTTTTAGAGTGTGTGTGGGGTTCAGCTTGAGAGAAGAGGCAACGTGAGTGCTGCCTTTAGCTTTTTAGCTAGAGAGCCTGTATTTCACACCGCTAGCTTAGTGCCATGTCAGTGCCGGGTGAGTGGCGTGTGTGTGAGGGGGGTCAAGTTTGATTTGGTAGGCAGGGTGCTCAGTTCTGTTGACGGGGTGGGGCACCCCACTTATATAATGGTAGGGGAAACACAGGTATGTACAGGTAGATCCCTTTAAAACAATTCCATGTTAAAAAATGTAATAGCAGTTCATGACATCTACGACAAGTTGAAAACACTGCACTGCTAGCTCTGCTACAGTGGAAGAGTTTACCCATCGTTGTTTTTGAAGTTTCTGTGAAAAGGGATCCATTCTTTATTTTACCTGATTAAACCTAATACATGTGTCTGAATAACAAAGGGATGTAACTGATCATCTATTCCAAGAACCTCCATACTCAGTTCACGTTCTAAAACTACTCACCAAAAGGTCGTCGTTAGAAAAATCCCTTGAGGCTATGTCTTTTATTCTCTGTTTAAGTTCGTCTGAGCTCAGGTCGATGTATGTTTCGATTCTAAAGCCGAAGCGCTCAAACAGTGAGCTCAAAGTTTCTGTGTCACAAAGAGAAAAGGATTACTTAAATTATTTTGTGAGCAGCACAAAAACTGTCAGATGGGTGTCACAGATACGTACTTGTATCCTCTTCAGTTCCTCTACGATTTGTCAGCATCCCCTGGAAGTGCTCGTTATTAAAGATCACACACGAACCTCGAGGTTCACGAGTCAGACTGTAGAACTCCACCTGCAGGGAAGGAGCAGAGCCATAAAACATGAGCTACATGTGATTAAAACAATTACACATAAGAGAGGTAACTGAGATTCACCTCATCACACTGTGAGGCCCCAGGTGAATCAAAGAAAACACCTACTTCACCACCTAAAACGCAAAAACTGAATGAAATCAGAATAACAAGGATTCACAGGCTCAAAAAAAGAAGTTGTTAAGAAACAATTATTGGCTGTCACTGCAAATATTTCTACATATTTTCCACAAACTCCTAAGAGAAGAATCTAAAGAGGGAAACTTACAGCTCATCTGAGGCAGATGGGTGTTGTTGGGCCTCTGTGAGGAGAAAACAGTGACTGGGTCAATTAGCTGACTGAAGGATTCAAACAAACAAACAAACAAACAAACACACACCTGTGGACATTGACGAGCTGGAGGGACACCTGGAGGTCTCTGTTGATGCTGAACGGCTGTAAAGAATGATGGTAAATGAGTTGCACTTCTTCAACAAGCTTCAAAATCTGGGATTTACCCTTACTAAACCTTAGTATAAATTGAATCTATATCCCTTCTCAAGAAATAATACTATTGGTTAATCATACATAAGTCATATTTGCCATAATTTCATTTTGTCATTATTCAAACTGAAAATAAACATTACAGAATTGTGTATTTAAATTACCAGATTATTTGTTTTTCTTCGAGAGAGGGGAATTAAATTTGCTACAAGAACTCACGTTACATGTTTTGGGGCTGAGGCCAGTCAACAATTGTTCCATAACTTTGAACGGTTAGCCTACACGTCTGTTAAAGGGTGTTCAGACCAGCCTATTCCCCTACACAGTGCTCCATCAGGAATTTTTTGTACCTCTTTCAACCGGCTGGTCGGCTGAGTACCGAACCGAGGTTCTTTTATGGCACCCACCGAACTGCACCGATCGATGTATGTATTGAAACGTCACTTTTTTCAGTGTCAAGTTTCGGTATTGACTGTAAGGTGTCACATGGTTTCAGCACGCAGGCAGGTAAAACACCAGACATATGATGAAACAGACTACGTATTTACACACAGAGCTGTATAGAGCTGCCGCACCTAATCTATGTATAATGTATGTCTATGGTGCTGGTGACGCCCACAGATGGAGTTCACGTGTGCAGCGCGTGTTGTCGAACGGCTTCGACAACACACGAGCAGAAAGTTGCTCCGTGTTTCTCTGGAAGAAGGCAAGAAGCAGCCTCCCCCTCCTCCTCCTCCTCCTCTCAGCATTAGTCAGTCTGTGTGTGTGTGAAACAGACTGAGTCAACATTCCACAGCCGGACTCGTCTTCATCAAAGAACTCCCAAGGACGGCTCTGTGTCTGTGTTTCAGCTGGTGAGTTTACGTTTGTTAACCGGACTGACCTGACTAAAATGTTGGATTTTATACCTGGATTATTGAGCATGGACTTTGTTACGCTTGTTAACGTTACTGAAGCTTAACATGTACATCGCGGTGAAATAACGCTAACTTTAAGATATTAGTGTGTAAATTTATTTTATCTACGTAGCTAGCTAAACTCAGAAGCTAACTAAAGATTGACAGTAACAGATGATGCTTAGCTTGTAAAACTGCTCATCCAGCTGCTTAAACAGATCACTAATGTTCACTGTTTATGTTAATGTTCTCCTCAAAGGAGGTTCTGACCCAGATGTGAGGACAGACAGAAAAGCGAGGTGGGAGCCACAGGACTGTTAACATTTGACAAGTGTGTTTGTGATTGTGTGCTCTTCACTGACGTCATTGCTGCGACTATTTAAGATGCGACAGGTGCACTTGATTGTATTCCCGCTGACTGATTTGTTTTACCAAGAATAAAGTGTGAGGTGTCTTTCTCACGATGAAGATAAAGCAGTGAGTACCTTCATTGTCCGACTTTCCTACCCTTAAGATGTCAACGCCAACAGGTTATGGGCCCAGGAGGGACATGGGAAGTCGATGGCAAAGGTTGTGCTTTGACGGAGATGAAAGAAATTACGAGTTGTGGGAGACTAAGTTCTTGGCTCATCTCCGACTGCAAGGTTTGAAAGACACAATTCTGCGTAAAGTCGAGCCGGATGCAGATGCCGAGGAAGAAGATGATTCGGAGAAAAATGAGGAGTTTTATGCCAAACTGATCCAGTTTCTAGATGATAAAAGTTTGTCCTTGGTCATGAGAGAGGCAGCAGATGACGGCAGGAAGGCGTTGCAGATCCTGCGAGACCATTATGCGGGCAAAGGGAAGCCGCGAGTCATCAGCCTGTACACTGAACTGACATCCCTCCAGAAAGCTGCCAATGAGACCGTCACAGACTACATTATTTGGGCTGAAACTGCCATCACCGCGCTGAGAAATGCCGGAGAGACGCTGAGCGATGGACTGTTAATTGCAATGATTTTGAAAGGTTTGCCTGAAACATATAAACCATTTGTAGTCCACATAACGCAAAGCAGTGAGGACAAGCTGACATTTGCTGAGTTCAAAGTTAAGCTGAGAAGTTATGAAAACACTGTGAAATTTAATGCAAATGTGGATGAAGATAACGTGATGAAAGCAAGTGGTTTCAGGAGCAAACAAAAAGCAAATCCAGAGTTCACCTGCTACAGCTGCGGTCAGAAGGGACACAAAGCACGGCAGTGTCCGAGACATAAAGGACAGGGACAGTGGTGCAGTTTGTGTAAAAGTCCAAGTCATAAAGAAAGTAACTGTTGGCAAAAGAAGAAAGAAAGTGTGAAACAAGCAACTGATGACGTGGATGATCACTCGTTTGTTTTCAAGATGAACGACTCTTAGATCTGCGGGTTGAAACGGAGAGGGCTCATGGTGGATACCGGAGCGACTTCTCACATCATCACTGATCTGAAGAAGTTCAGACGCTTCGATGACACTTTCCAACCAGAGGAACACTTCGTGGAGCTCGCTGACGGGACGAGGGCGAGCGGTGTGGCACAGAAGAGAGGCGACGCGGAGGTCTGGCTGCGGGACACAGAGGGACGGAAGGTGAAGGTGGAGATGACACGGGTGCTGTACATCCCCACGTACCCACAGAGCATCTTCTCTGTTAGAGCAGCGACGTCCAAGGGAGCCTCGGTCAACTTTGAACAAGGACTCGATCAACTCATCTCTAAGAACGGCACCAGGTTCGATATCAGAGTGTATGACAGACTTTATTTCCTTGACATTCTTGATGAAAATGATGTTGGTGATGAACAGAATTATACAGTATTGGGTTGTTATGACATTCAGGAGTGGCATAAAATTTTGGGTCACTGTAATTTTCAAGATGTATTAAAACTAGAAAACGTTGTGAAAGGCATGAAAATTAAAGGGAAGGTCGACAAAACTAACCTAGAATGTGAAACTTGTCTTAAAGGGAAATTTACCCAAAGTAGAAATAGGCAAGCTGATGTAAAAGCAAAAACGGCTCTTGAACTAGTGCATACAGACTTAGCTGGTCCTATTGAGCCTGCTGCAAAACATGGATTTAAGTATACACTAGCATTTACTGATGATTTTTCAAGTGCAATATTTGTCTACTTTCTGAAAGCTAAAAGTGACACAGTCAAAGCTACCGAAAGGTTTATTGCAGATGTCGCCCCTTATGGAGACATAAAGTGCATTAGGTCAGATAATGGAACAGAGTTCACGTCAAAGGACTTTCAGTCTTTATTGAGTAAAAATTCTATTTGACATGAGACCTGTGCACCATACTCACCTCACCAAAACAGGACAGCTGAAAGAAGCTGGGGAACACTGTTTGATATGGCAAGGTGTTTGTTGATGGAGAATGATTTGCCCAAAGAGTTATGGACTTATGCTGTAATGGCTTCTGCAGTTATTCACAACAGGTGTTTTAATAATCGTTTGGAACAAACTCCATATTATATGTTGACAGGAAAGAAACCTGATCTTTCTAAAATGAAAGAGTTTGGATCAGTGTGTTATGCATATAAACAAAACAGGGGAAAGCTAGATCCAAGGTGTGATAAGGGCATTTTTGTGGGTTATGATAAAAGCAGCCCATCGTATTTAGTCTATTACCCAGACACAGAAAGAGTTTGTAAACACAGACTGGTTAGATTTATAACTAAAAGCGTGAGTGAATGGCAAACTCAAACTGATCCAGAGATGTTTGACGATGAAATTAACAGCAAAAGAATGGTTCCTGTTAAGTTGGAGTCAGAAGCAGAACGTCAGGTGTCAAAGGAAACACAAGGGACTTTGACTGAACCTACAGTGAACAAAGAAAACACGAGTGTTAGACAGGATGAAGAACATTGTATGCATCGTTCCAAAAGGGAAAGAAAAACACCTGCATATTTAAAAGACTATGAATGTAAGGCAGAGAGTGATGAATATGGAGCAACAAATGTTGACTATTGCTATCATTTAGTGTTTAATTCACCACAAAGTTACAAAGAAGCAATAAATTCACCTGAGGCTGAAAAGTGGGTAGAAGCTATGAAAGAAGAGATTGAATCTTTAAAAGAAAACAATACATTTACACTGACCAGACTGCCAGAAGATAAAAATGCAGTGGGGGGTAGATGGGTCTTCACAGTTAAGGATAACATCGATGGAACTGAGACTTATAAAGCCAGATATGTGGCAAAAGGTTACAGCCAAGTAGCTGGTATAGATTATAAAGAAACGTTCGCACCGACAGCAAGTATGACGTCTGTGAGCAACTTAATGCAGATGGCAGCTCAGTATGATCTGAAGCTACATCAGATGGATGTTAAAACGGCCTACTTACACGCTCCTATTGACTGTGAGGTGTATATAGAACAGCCTGAGGGTTTCGAAGTCAACGCAGATTCAGATGAAAAACTGGTTTGTAAACTAAACAAGTCATTGTATGGTTTAAAACAATCGGGACGCAACTGGAACAGGATGCTCCATGATCACTTGACTGAAGATGGTTTTGTACAAAATCCTGCAGATAACTGTGTTTATACTAAACAAACTAAAAATGAGAGAATAGTTGTGATTGTTGGGTTGATGATCTCATCATAGCAGCGAGTGATGATCTTCTAATGGACAATGTAAAAGAAATGCTAAAAGCAAGGTTTAAGATGAAAGATATGGGAACACTTAAACGTTTTTTGGGCATCGACTTTACACAGACAGATGGTGAAGTAAAGATGAACCAAAAGAAGTACATAATGAAAATACTTGAAAGATTTGGTATGTCAGAGTGTGGCACAAGATGCACCCCATGTGAACAGAAATTAAACTTTGAGTGTGAAAGTGAACTTATAGATCCAAGATGTTATCGTGAGCTTGTAGGAAGTTTGATATATGTCATGACGTGCACAAGGCCTGATCTTAGTTGGGTTGTAAGTAAACTTTCACAGCACTTATCACAACCAAAAGAATGTAACTTAATTACAGCTAAACATGTGTTGAGATACTTAAAAGGGACAATGGACAAGAGCTTATGCTATAAGAGAAGTGAGGGGAAGCTTCAACTTGTAGCATACAGCGATGCAGACTGGGCTTCAGATCAAAATGACAGGAGAAGCACTACAGGTTATTGTTTTAGCCTTAACAAAAATGGACCTGTTGTCTCATGGAAGTCAAAGAAACAACAAACAGTGGCTCTATCAACATGTGAAGCAGAATATATGGCACTGGCAGCAACAACGCAGGAAAGTTTGTATCTTGTACAGCTTTTAAATGCAATGGACAAAGACTGTGAATGCACGCCAGTGACAATATTCGAGGACAATCAAGGAGCAATAGCTTTGTCAAAGAACCCTGTATGTCGTCAAAGATGCAAGCATATTGACATCAAGTATCATTTTGTTAGGTCTGCACTTAATGATGGCAGGATAACAATTGTTTACTGCGTAACAGGAGATATGGTTGCTGACATTTTTACTAAACCTGCTACAAAGTTAAAACTTCAGAGGTTTATGTGTTATATATTTGGGATATAAGAAAAACAAGTAATGTTTATGTACAGTGAAAGAGCAAGTGGGTGTGTTAACATTTGACAAGTGTGTTTGTGATTGTGTGCTCTTCACTGACGTCATTGCTGCGACTATTTAAGATGCGACAGGTGCACTTGATTGTATTCCCGCTGACTGATTTGTTTTACCAAGAATAAAGTGTGAGGTGTCTTTCTCACGATGAAGATAAAGCAGTGAGTACCTTCATTGTCCGACTTTCCTACCCTTAAGATGTCAACGCCAACAAGGACAATCACAGACTTTGTTGTTAAAAGTTTGCTGTCTTTTCTACAGTGGAGGCTGCATGGTGGAGGTAAGTTAAGCTGTAAAGGATTTTGTTGACAAGTTAAACTTTTATCTCTCAGCCTAGATAATGTATTTTGAACAATAATAACACAACCATGTTATTGTTGATGTTTTGTTCTCATGTCAATTGGGGAGATGATCAGAGCCCTAAACCACAGAGAAGATTCAGGAAAAGACACAGAGGTGCAGAAGTCTCCATCAGCCCTAACCTCAGTGAATCCAGTGACCTGCTGGTGGAATGTGAGGGACAATATGTCAGTGCTATCAAACTTGGCAACCAGGTATCTGTGTGTGCAACAATCATCATCTACAGCCTCAGAGGGAACACTTCCTACTTCTGGAGACACCCTCAGCCAGGAGTGGGCTTGTTTGTGTCCACAGAAAGCAGACATGTTGTTTCTGAAGAAAAACTGTTCAGTGAAAACGTCCTCAGTGTGTAGCAGTGAACATTAGACACTGACGTGTCACTTGTTGTTTGCAACAGTTCTTTTGAACTGGAAATTATTTGTTTATTTTAATGTAAGAAAACTGCTTGGAATAGAAATACCAAAGTTAAAAAATAAAATTCACAATATGTACTGTAATGTGTAACGTAATTTTATTCTTGTTAGAATTAATATTAATTACGTATTAAATGATAAAGCTCTGTACATGTTGTATAACACAATCATTGTTCCACATTTAATCTATTGCATTGATGTTTGGGGGAAAGCGTGTAAAACATTTACAAAGCCTATTTTTATTTTACAGAAAAGAGCTGTAAGAATTATCACTAGAAAGCATTACAGTCACCCATCAAGCACATTATTTTATCAACTGAAGTTATTGAAGTTCCATGATTTGGTAGATTACAGTATTTTATCAGTTATGCATAGGGCTCAAAATAACACATTACCATTAAATATCTAAAGAAATTTTGTTAAAAGGCAAAGTTGTTACAATCTTAAGGGGATAGAGATATTTGTCAAACCAAAATTCAGAACTAGTCTGAAGGGAAGGTCTACCTCAATCCAAGGAGTTGGATTGTGGAATGGTCTAGAGAGTGATGTGAAAAATGCCAAGTCAATGTGTACATTTAAGAAAAAGATCAAAGCTGAATTGTTAAAAAGTATATATGAAATAGCTTAGTGTGCGTTTTGTATTAGTTAGAAAAATTAGAAAGAGTTATTCATTTTGTTCCGTTACTTGAAGATTATTATGACTGAACTAATTGTCTGAAAAAAGGGGCAGATATAATAAGATTTTTTCTTCTTTCTGCAGCCTTTCATTTTAAATCTCTGGTATTTTTTTTATATAGTTTATGGAATTTTTTTTAATTTATTTTATTTTTAAATGAATAAACTTTATACCGTACCAATTATAAAATTGGTACTGAAAAAAGAACCGTCCAGGAACCGACACCGAAGTGAAGGTACCGACACCGGTACAGATAACAATTTTTTTAGAAAGGTACCCAGCCTAGTCAGCACTCGGTCAAATGGCTACAAGTGGCTGGTGGTGATCCAAATTGGATCGCCAGCTGTGCGCGTCCGCAATCAAAAGCCTAACACCGACCCGGCCCACCCATCCAGCAAATTATTATGGCCTGGCCTTGCCCAAATTTTAGATTCGGGCAGGGCCTGGGTTAGAAATGACAGCTCCACCCTAAAATACTGGAACCAGCCGTAATTGTACGGTTATCCAGCAGAGGGTGCATGAAGACTACTTTCAAGTCATGGCCATTTACTTATTAAGTTTCATATTCAGGTTCAGCACATACGAAGCAGGGAGCAAAACAACACAGGTAAGTTTATTTTAACTGATCTGCAAAATAATAAAAAAATAAAATAAAAAATCAGCAATAATAAATTCTCTTCAACCCTCCAACCTGCTTGTCATTAGCTACGTGCCTCTCAAGTTAGCAGGCTAATGTTAGTGTTCAGTTGCACCGCCTTCACAACATTAGCCACGTTGACAGTAGTTGTAGCAACCAGTCCTGTCGGAATGAGCTTCCAGTTTGTGAGGACATCCGGTGTTAGCAACGTTATCTTTGTCGTTCTTGATGAAAAGCATTTTTTTGTCTGAAATCTTTACTTCTCTGCTAAGAAAAAAAACCACCACTGCAGTCAATACTAGTTAGGCCTTCACCATACGTGACTGACTGTGTAAACAATGAACAGGGTCTCAGACTGAAGAAGTCTTCTGGATAAAAGACGAAACATTTCAATAAGAAGAATCCGTCCAGAGGACCTGACTTAACTTTGTTAGATTTTTCTACCTGGATTATTGGGCATGCATTAGGATAACAGAGAAGGACGTTTCTTTGTTTAATTTATATTTTTGTAACACAATTGATAACTTCATGATGAATAGTGGAGGATAGAAAATATGAACGCATGTTAGAAATTGCAATGGTTTATTATCTGGATGTCCAAATACTTCTTTAAAACGTCTTCAGTTGATCCAAAATGTTGCTGCCAGAGTCTTAACTGGAGTTAGTAGGAGAGATCATATTTCTCCAGTTTTAGCTTCTCTCCGTTGGCTCCCTGTCAAATCCAGAATAGAATTCAAAATCTTACTTCTAACCTACAAAGCTCTCAACAACCTGGCTCCATCTTATATTACAGATCTTATTGTTCCATATTTTCCTAACAGAGCACTTCGCTCTCAGACTGCAGGTTTACTTGTGGTTCCTAGAATTTACAAAAACAGAATGGGAGGCAGATCTTTTAGTTATCAGGCTCCTCTCTTGTGGAACCAACTTCCAATCTCTGTCCGTGAGGCTGACACATTATCCAGTTTTAAAACTAGGCTTAAGACTTTCCTTTTTGCTAAATCCTATAGTTAGGGTCGGCTTGGGTTTCCTGAGCTGTCTCTTAGTTATGCTGCTATAGGCTTAGACTGCTGGAGGACAAACTGACCACAATTTTCACTCTACTACTGTCTTTACTTACTCTGCTCAACCTGTTTTGTATTTGTAATTATTTTTTCTATCCTTAACCTGTGTTTTTTTGTCTTTCAGATACACCTGGACCTACCATTCTGTGTTCGTCTGTCTCTCCTTCCTGTCCTCTCAACCAGCCGGTCAAAGCAGATGGCCGCTTGTCCTGAGCCTGGTTCTGCTGGAGGTTTCTTCCTTTTAAAAGGGAGTTTTTCCTTTCCACTGTTGCCACTGTGCTTGCTCAGGATGGGAGACTGCATCAAAGCCAAGATTCATCTTGTCTGCTGGATTCCTTAGATAGAGAACTTTACTAATTGGCTTTTATGTATGTGAATGTTCCTGTAAAGTGCCCTGAGACAACTTTGTTGTGATTGGGCGCTATATAAATAAACTGAATTGAATTGAATAGAAAGGCTGTTTTTATGACCAGTGCACCACAACCTACTGTGGGACTAATTAAAGTGTGGATCTGATTAGCTTAGTTTCATGGTTGCTAACAGTTGTGCTAAATATACAAGCCCCGCTCCACTCGCTGTTTACTTAGATTCTTGGGGGTGGACAAAGCTAAAAAAAATTTCAGCCATTATATCGGTTATCGGCGATCGCCTTCCCCTCCCAATATCGGAATCGGTGATAGCCAAAATTTACTATTTAGTTAACTAATTTCCCTATGGGGACAAATAAAGCTATCTATCTATCTAAAGCTATCTGTCTATCTAAAGCTATATATCTATCTAAAATATCCATATTGGACAGGCTCTAGTGATAATTTAAGGACCAGAAATATTGGATGTTCCATAGTGACACCAAAAGCCAGCACCAGAACAGGAGGAGCACATGTAGAAAGCCTATTAAACCCAACCACTAACAACCCCAGTGCTGTCGTTAGTATCAGACTCCACTTTATGTAAAGCTAGAATAAGAGATAAAACCTAAACTAGAAGTTCTCAAGGAAAACTCAGCATTGCTTCAATAAAATTGGAAAAGGCTTTGCATATGCAAATGAGACAATACTTTAAAATAATGTGACACAAACAGAAAATCATCCCATATTTATTTTATGATTAATCAGATCTGGTCCAGAATCTAAGACTGGCCAGGACTTGTATGGAATAACATTACATCATACCGTCCATGTAGCTTTCCACAGTCACAGCCAGCTGTTTATCACACTTGAGCAGAATCTCTTGGAGTTTATTCACATTTGTTCTTGAGATGACGCCCATCTTTTCCAGTTCAGTAAATACATCCAAAGCTGTCTGTAATTAGCAGAGATATTTCTTTTTAATTGCAATGTTGTGCAGTTTTAGAAGAAATGATGTTATCAGGGGTCTGGTGGAGAGCTTCCTAGAGTTGCAAGTTTTGTCTGTTTTCACTCAAAAGCAACAAGTGGGGCCATGTTGTCATGATTTTCCATGTTTCTATAATTTGGCAAACTGAAAGTGTGAGGGTGTGTTCTTACACTGCTTTTCTCCATGTGTCTTTTGCCCAGATCATCCTTCAGTAGATATTTAATCTTTTCCAGATTCTCATTAGTCATGTTCTCATGTATTCTGTACAGCATCACCCTGAAAGTGAGGGGGAAAAACGAGTTAAGCAGGACAAAGAGAAGAAGGAAAGTTGAAGAAACAATTATTAAAGGCACTGTAATACCAGCTAATAATATTCCAGAATAACCCACATGTAAGTAGACAGTTCTAAGTGAATATGTTAATTCCAAGGGATAAGATAGAACTGTATTGATCCCACAGGAAATTGTTGTGCCAGAGTTTCAGTACAAAAGGAACATACACAAGGAATCACACAAGAAATAAAAAATAACAGAATATAAAAATACCAGCAATTAAGGTCTAAACGGTCAGGTGCAGACGTGTGGAATGTCTGTGTGAAATATTTTAATGTTTTAATGTGAAAACATTAAAGTACTTATTGTAGTACAGGATTAATTTTATTGTCCTATGTGTAGAAAGGGGGAGGAGTTGAAAAGTTTGATAGCCACAGGGAGTAAGGATTTCCTGTGTTGTTCTGTGGAGCACCTCGGTGGTCTCAGTCTACGACTGAAGGTGCTGCGGTAAGAGTCCAAGGTGTCATGCAGGGGGTGATGTGTTGTTCAGGATCTGGAGCAGTTTCCTCAGCATCCTCTGCTCAGACACATCTGTCAGAGACTGCAGTTCCACTCCCAGAACTGAACCAGCTCTTGATGAGTTTATCAAGTCTGTTGTCATCAGCTTTCTTCACCCTGCTGCCCCAGCACACCACAGCATAGATGACGATGCTGGAGACCACCAAGTGGTAAAATATCTGCAACAGGGTCCTGCAGAGACCACCGAGTGGTAAAACATCTGCAACATGGTCCCACAGACATTAAAGGACCAGAGTCTCCTCAGAAGAAAAAGGCGACTCTGCCCTTTCTTGTAGAGGGTGTTGGTGTTAGCCGTCTAGTCAAGTTTATTGTCTAGGTGGACCCCCGGGTACTTGTAGCAGTCCACAGTGTCCACTTTAGTACCCTTGATGTTGATAGGGTTGGGGGGCTGATCTTCTTCCTGTAGTCCACCTGCAGCTCTTTAGTTTTTCCAACGTTCAGTTGCAGGTGGTTCTGTCCACCACACCTCTATATTCAGCTTCCTGGTCACCAGTGATGCAGCTCACAATGGCAGAGTAATCCAAGAACTTCTGCAGATGGCAGGGTTGTGAGTTGTATCTGAAGTTCAAGGTGTAGAGGGTGAAAAGAACAGAAGTCCAACACCCACCACAAGAGCACCAAGTGCTCTTAAATGGTAATCACTAGAGCCTGGCCGATATACAGACCCTTTCCCAAAAATTAGACTATCATGGAAAAGTTGTTTCACTTCCATAATTCCATTCAAAAAGTTACTCTTTAATAGATGATAGATTCATGGCCCACAAGTTAAACGATTTCAAGTATTTATTTGTTTTGTTGTGAGTCACGTGGGTACGTGTCACTAGTTGTAGTATGACAATATATCCCCGTTTATATGCATACTATATTCACGAGTTCCTCATCTTTCTGACTGTAATGTCGTGCATTGAATTTTAACAGAAATGCGAACGAGAGACGTTATTATCTTTGACCCATCAAAATGAATGTGGTCATTTATTTTCAGAATCAAAGTTTAACATCAAACATTTACATTAATTTGGCAAAATATGAAAATAATAACAGACAGTTTCACAGAAAATGAGCATCGATCACTCGGCGGTGAACGAGGACTTTGCTTCAGATATTTCTAAAATATCTGTACTGGTTTTGTGAGAGAGAGAAGAGTTTAAGATGAAATGGAGATTTTCTTACAGAGAACTATGTGAGGGAATTAATATCTGTTTGACCAGAACGTGCACGCTTCATCAAATCTCAGCTCGCCTCCGGTACACTTTAGTCGAAGAAGAGACCGTTACCTGGTGATGATAGATCAGCTCGATAGGGAATCCTCCAGACCTTTCAGCGTCTCCGTTGAGAGCTGCTGAAATCCTTAGATAGTCGTGCGTGGGTCGTTCAAACAGAAGTTATAATTCCAAACGTCTCTGACTCTCCTGAATTCTCGAATTCTCTTCCATACACTTCACCATTCTTCATGAATTACCCATGAATTCTACTGAATTCTCTTCAGAACTCCTTGAGAACTGCTTCAGAACTGCTTGAGAACTACTTGAGAACTACTTGAGAACTACTGAAAACTAACTTGAACTGGAAAGTTGCCACATTTTAAATGGGTCGACTTCCGGTTCAATTTAGAGCTTTCTGATTCGTGGATGTACCAGAAAGAGGTGTGGTTTTTGACGTAAGGTATTATCAAAAGTCGAGGTCAGGGAATGAATTGTTTTCAACATACAGAAAAGATTATTGCAGAAACAGCAGACTTTTTGGAGCCTCACTCTGTTGTATCTTTCCAAATAGTAAAACATGACATCCCTTTTTCAGTAAACATTTAGTTGACCGAAGCTTCAACTTTCACATACTTACGACTTGGCTCATTTCAGACAGAAAATCAAGAAATGCATATTCAGGTGATTTCTTCTTTGAATGAGGAATAAAAATCATTACTTACTGTTTATGTAAAATAAAAATGAGTAGTTCTTTTCAACCTGTAAGCATTGAGTGAAACTAACACAATTTGATTATCAAACATTTGTAAGACAGTAATGATTATAAAGAATTGTCTTTTCTGCTTGATTAATTCAAGAAAGAAAGTCATCAGATGGCTCAGACTTATTCAGATCAATGAAAATGACAGTCTCTGTCCATCTGGTAGATTTGAGGTCATCAGGGTCAGATAAGGGTCAGACCAGGTTCACTACAGTTTATTTTTACATAATTTGGGCTTCCAGCTCATGAAATCCACAAAAACAGGATATCAAAAAATTACAACACTGTGGAGAAATCAGCCTAAATTTTGCAGGGCATGAATGTCTTAAACTGAGTGTGACACACTAATCATCTACTACACTCAAAGCACTTGCACAGGTTTCCCCAGGTGCCATTAAATTGCTTCAGTTTTGGTTCAATTGTCTCAGTTCGGTTCAATATGGGGAAGATTGTAGCATAAATGGCCAGAAGACCAACATTGATACCCTCCAAAGGATGGGTAAGCCACAAAAGTTCATAGCTAAAGAGGCTGGCTGTTCACAGAGTGCTGTGTCCAAGCATATCAATGGAAAGTCTAGTGGAAGGGCAAAATGTGGCTGGAAAAGATGCAACAGCAAAGAGATGACTGTGGGCTTCAGCAGATTATCAAACAGAGAAGATTCCACAATCTGGCAGAGATCCAGAAAGAGTGGAATGAGGCAGGAGTCACAGCTTCAAAAACCACCACATCCAGACGCATCCGGGAGATGGGCTACAACTGTCGGGTTCCTTGGTCCTCTTTTCCGATGAAAGTAAAATGTGCCTTTCATTCGGAAATCAAGCTCCAAGGGTTTGGAGGAAGAAGGGTGAGGAACATAACCCATACTGCTTGAGGTCCAGTGTGAAATATCCACAGTCAGTCATGATTTGGGATGCAATGTCTGGTGCAGGTGTTGGTAAACTCTGCTTTCTTAAATCCAAGGTCGCCGCAACAGTCTATCAGAATGTTTTAGAGGACTTCATGACTCCTTCTGCTGAGGATCTGTATGGAGATGCAGATTTCATCTTCCAGCAGGACCTGGCCCCTGCCCATGCTGCCTGAAGCACCAAAACCTGGTTTGATGCCCATGTCATTGATGCCCTGAAAGTTAAACTGGGTTTCTTTTTCAGAAACAGATCCTGTCTAACCCTGAATGCTAGAAAACACCTTGTATCTGTGACTTTCCTTCCCTCCATTGATTACGGTGACATTATTTACATGAACACTCCTACAAGAACCCTGCAGATGTTGGATGCTGTCTATCATGGTGCACTAAGATTCATAACTGGCTGTGATTGTCGTACCTACCACTGCACCCTGTATTCACTGGTTAACTGGACATCATTAACTTCATGCAGACTCTCTCACTGGTACATTTTCATCTTTAAATCACTTCTTGGTCTGTTGCCTTCATACATCTCCTCCTACATGTCTCTGCGTGAGTGCAGCTACGGGGTGCGCTCTCAGGACATTATTACCTGCAGTGTTCCCTCAGTGCAGACTGAACTAGGCAAAAGGGCCTTCTCCTACTCCGCTCCTGTTTCCTGGATTTTCTTACAAAAAGATTTGAAGCTCTCGACCTTGACCTCTCTAAGTGGCTTTAAGAATCTGTTGGACTCCTGGCAGGGACCAGTGCAGACATGTTCCTGTTATTAGTTTTCTACATTCGCCTTAGAATCTAGCTGTTTTTTTTTTGTTACCTTTTTTCTTTTAGCCATCCTATTTGTAAAAAAAAAAACAAAAAAAACCTGCAGTATGACTTTTTATAATTGTTTATTGTTGTTGCTGTTGTCCATTGTTGTCATCTTTCTTTGTTGAAATCAGGTCTCTCTTGTAAATGAGTCCTCGAGGCTCAATGGGATTACCTGTCTAAATAAAGGTTGAATGAATGTCACAGTGCTTGACTGGCCAGCCAACTCGCCGGACCGAAACCCCATTGAGAATCTATGGGCTATTCTCAAGAGGAAAATGAGGGGCACCAGACCAAACAACAAAGAAGAGCTGACACCAAGCATCAAGGAAATCTGGGCTTCCATAACTCCCAGGCAATGCCACAGGCTGATTGCCTCAATGCCACGTCACATGGAGGCAGTGATTAAGGCAAAGGGATTCCCAACTAAGTATTGAAGATTGACATATTGTTTTGAAAGTACCATATTTTGATTGATTTGTTGTGATCCTAATTTCTTTGTTTTTTCCTGCAAAAACTGAGTAGTGTGGGTTTATGTCATCACAGTATTCTAATTTTTTGAATTCCTGTTTTCGTGGGTTTCATGAGCTGGAAGCCCAAATTATGGAAAAATAAACAAATAAATACTTGAAATTGTTTAAATTGTGGGCCCTGAAATAATCATCTATTAAAGATTAACCTTTTGAATAGAATTATGGAAGTTAAACAACTTTTCCCTGATTTCTAATTTTTTGGAAAGGGTCTGTATTGGTAG